TATATCCAGACAAAATTCTATTTTCAAATTTAATTTAATGAAATATCTCTCATAAAGCAGAGGGATTCATAAACCTTAGATTTAATCGTATATTTGTTAATCATCATGATGCCAATTAAACAAAGATGGACGACATTGAATATTCTAGTTAGTTCATTTATAGATTATATTGAGATTTCTTTAATTCATCATATAGAACAGAATTTATTTCAGATTCATATTTTTCATTTTACAGTTTAATTCGTATGGCTACGGTGCATATGGTTACGGACAACAAGTAGCCACTCCTTATGGACACGATGAAACGGGAATGATGCAAGGTGTGATGGGTCCGGGAACTGGCGGAGGTAATTGTGGTAGCTCAGGAGGAGCTTACAATGCCCGTTATCATTTCCAAGCAGCACAGAATGCTGGATTTGATACTGGTAGTGAAGATCATCAACCAAGAACTGTGTATGTTCCTTCTTGTCCTCTACAACATCTTCGAATTTCTTTTTTTTTTTGCTATAAAGTAGTTAGATGTGAAAACCTAATCTAGCTGAATGTTCATAACATATATTTGTTGCTCTTCATCGAATTTTAGATAAACATGACTGTTTCTGAGGTATAATTTCAGTTATGTTGGAAATTTGGATCCAAGTATAACAGAGGACTTTATCACTACGTTATTTGGGCAGATTGGTGCTGTAACAAAAACTAAAGTCATCTTTGATGTACGTCTTTTGTTCTTACGTAGAGTTTTAGAATTGTGATAGTTTAAAATTTTGAGGTATTTGAGAGAAATATGTGCATTCTTTTTGCAACTTGTTATTGTTTACAATATCATTCACGTCCGCTTTGGTGGGTAGCGACGCTTCATTGTTATTTTTATTCAAATTTTTTTCATTTTTTCCTCATTCATTCTTTATACGCTTTCTGGCACATTCATTATTGTAAAGAGTTTTGAATTTTTCTCCTTTCAATAGAAAAAGAAAAATCGGACGTGATATGATATGTATGCAGATAATAAGGGAGATATACACATGGCGTTGTTGGTAAGGACAACTTGATGCTAATTGCTACTACAACTACCACTGTTACTACTTTATTGCACATCTCACAAACAGGATGTGGATATGATATGAATATGTGAATATTTGGAGAACAGGGAGAGTGTACTCAAGTTGTCTCATATACACAGACTCTAATTCACATGCCGGGGCATTTCGCGCTCTTTGGCTAAGTACCAATTTTTTCAAATTTAATTATTTCATCATTTTCATTATACCTTTCAAGTTTTTTCATTCTTTTTCAATTCATTCATTCGCTTTCCTTCTTTTTATTATTGTCGAATTTTCTTCAATTTCTATTATTAAAACAAAAAGAAAAATCATACACACTAACTAGAAAGAAAAAACATTGAACCCAAATAGCCTTGAGACTACATCGCCCCATAAAAAGGTAAGTACTGGATGGCGTTGTGCAACATCCCGATTCCAATTACCTCAGGACAAGTGGTACTTAATAGTAGTAGTAGTAGTGCGTGTAAGGAAGGGTATGTTGTCAACTGAAACGAAACAGGTGAGTGTCAACAAAACAGGTGAGTGTCAGGTGTGCAGCAACATTTGACGCTGTTTCATTTTTGGATCCTTCGATTTTGTGTATTTTGAGCTCTTTCTAAATCCCTATCGTTTTCAGCTGACTGAAGGAGGTAAAAATGTTACAGCGTCAGGACGAATTGAAGCGCATAGTCGAAGTTTTTTTTTTATAATCATTTACAGGGAACAAATGATCCATATGCTTTCGTGGAATTCGCTGATCATTACACTGCTGCGCAAGCACTGCAGGCAATGAACAAAAGAGTACTTTTGGAAAAGGTTTATTCAAGAACAAAACTTTTCATAATTAAGCCCAGAAGTCTTGTTATACCTTATTTTACACTTTGGAAGTTTCAAAATAAAAGAAATTGTTAGCTTCACATTCAACAGCCATCTGGTCTATGTTTCAGAGAAAGAATTCTAATCTTTAGAATGCCAGCTAGGATTATTTAAGAAATTAGGCATTCTAGGATTAAAAAAAAATGAGAAAAATCAGGCATTTAAGGATACCTGATTTTTCAGGAAATGAAAGTAAACTGGGCTACGGAGCCGGGATCACAAGCAAAGGTAGACACCAGCAAACACTTCCATGTATTTGTTGGCGATCTGTCACCGGAAGTTGATAACAAAGCATTAAAAGATGCATTTGCTCCGTTTGGAGAAGTTTCGTAAGTTTTTTCTCTTTATCTTAGTTTATCATTGATTAAGCTTATAACATTTTCTTAAGAAAGGGTCGGTTCAGAGGTTGCTGCTGTCTTACAGTAATTATTGTAATTTATTTCGTTTATGTTTCTACAATTATAGGGATGCTAAAGTAATTAGGGATGCAACAACACTGAAATCAAAAGGCTATGGATTTGTTTCCTATCCGAAGAGAGAAGTGATTTTTTATTCATTATGATTCATGTTTTTATGATGATATTTCAAATTCATGAGGAGTGCTTTCTTTAGTATGTTTTATTTTCCATCTTGATGCTGTTGCATATTTAAAGGTTGAAAAGTATTAGTGTAAATGAATATATGTTTATCGACAGTATATGTATTTCCAATTGTTAAATATATCAACTAGATATAGTATAGAAATACAAGTATTTTCAAAAAAAAAAAACATTTAGGAAGCAGAGCGCGCAATAGAGCAAATGAACGGTCAGTGGTTGGGACGACGAACAATTCGCACAAATTGGGCAACACGTAAACCAACTGGTACTGGTGCTGGTGATGGACAGTATGGACGCACCGAATTGAACTACGATGACGTCTACAATCAGACGGGTCCTGACAATACATCTGTCTACGTCGGAAATGTTAACGCAAGCGCTAACGGTGGGTAAATGAAAATATTTGAGTGTTAGTAACATTGAGAATGATAGTTTGCTGATTATAAAGGCACTTCTTAAGAGCTTGCATGTGTTGCGCTGTGAATGAGCCGTTTTGGTGCATTTATGAAGCATTATCGCATGATTAGTGTCAGAGAAGTGCTATAATATTGAAGTTTTTGTAGCACAGTCATTTCTCGAGCTGTAAGGCAGTTGAGATTTGTGCTTCTACATTCGAACAGCTCGATTACTTAGTTTTAATCGTTTCTACTATTTTTGTTTAGGAAGTTTAAAAAGATATAAGAAATTTATAGAGATGTGCATTATTACGTTGATCACATACGTTTTTTTATTGAGATTCAAGCACTGTTATTTATTTTTTTTTTAGATGAAGATCTGCGAGCAGCATTTGACAAATTTGGCCGTATCCTAGAAGTTCGAATCTTCAAATCACAGGGATATGCATTTGTGCGTTTCGACAAAAAGGATTCTGCTTGTAACGCCATATGCAAAATGAATGGACAAGAGCTTTGCGGTCAAAACATAAAGTGTTCTTGGGGAAGAACGCCTGAGGTAAGTCACCAATGACTTTTAATGTATTATCGAGCTTTCTTTTTCTGTTTCATTGTTTATGACAAATGTTATTTTCCACGTTTAGCTTAATACGTTGTAGTTATAATGCTGCAGTATTAGTTTATTGATATTTTGCACCCGCAATGGAGGAATTAAGTGAAGTTGATGAGCTAGCGTCGTGCATTTAGACATTAGTTCTAAAAGTTTCTTCTTAGGGTCACAACCAGCAGGTTAACGCATACAATCAAGCCCAAGCATATGCAAATTATGGTGGTTATGGGGCCTATGGATACGGAAATGGTGCGTCAGGTGGTCCGGGTGGTACTGCTGCAGCTCAACAACAGTACTGGAATTACTATCAGCAGTATTACAGCAATCCACAACTTGTTCAGCAGCAATGGCAGAGGTAAGTTCGAATTTTGGTTTCATTTATGGAAAGAGAATTACATATCTTTTTATAATAAAAATGCAAACATATTTGAATGCGTTGTGTTTTTTTATAGAAAGATATTTTAGGGAATGTAAAAAAATCGTGTTTTGTAAAAATTGAAACTTTTTAAACATAAGGGAATCTCACTTATCTTGTTTTGGACCATGCATTTGGTTTATTTCAAAACATTTGTACAGAGCCAATTTTCTCAGTGGAAACTAAAAATATTTATTCTGCTCCATTATTTTTCTATATGTTTCAGTTATTGGCAGCAGCAGCAGCCACAAGGTGGAAATCAGTAAAGTAACACTGTTAGGAGGGCAGTTCTTTTATTTGAATTTTTGCACGAAGAGATCGTTTCAAATAATTTTGAACAGTTAACATTTTCTTAAACACTTTCGTTACGCCACTTTTTTAAATTTAATTTAAATCATGCATATTTCATTTATTTATTGTTTTTTCAAATGGCGCATCTCATTGATTTTTTCTCTTCAGTGCGAATATTACATACATCTCCTGTTAAACATATTTTTCACACCATCTTGTGTGTTCATTCTTCTTCAATCCTTTTTTTCTGTTTATTAATTTACTTCTTTGTTTATTTATGTTGTCGACAATTAAGCACGTAATTCGGCTTATCGTTATATTTTTTCTTTCTGCCAAACTTCATTTTTACCGTCAAAAATTTCATTTTTTTGTTTTGCAATTTTTTTTCCAGATAATTAAACGAAGTTTTTAATTCATGCATATTTTTCGCAATTTTCTTTTTCCAGAAAATTAAACGGAGTTTTTAATTCATGCATATTTTATATATTCATTGTCTGATATAATTCTCCTGATAGTGAGATATTCTTTCTTTAACCTGATTATGCATAAAAAGATAAAGAAATATAAAACAGAGAACAATAGCTTGGTATAGTTTCTCGGAAAAAGAAATGAAAGATTAAGCAACTGTGATATGGCATAGTGCACATTTTTGCCAGGAGGCAGTTATTTTTTTAAGCGTTTTGTTTGGCGCTATTTTTTTACTTTGGTTATTTCTTATTAGCGATTGTTTATTTCATTATTACCTTTCTCATTTGTGGGCATCCAGGCATGATTTTTCGTACCTTTTAGGATTATTCATACTTGTGTTACCATTGTTTTTGTTAGTATAATGCCATCTTCGTTCAATAAGTTCTGTTTCTCCTAATGAAAGCAGCTGATCCAGCATTACTTGTACACTTGTAGAAGTTCTAAAAGTCTCCTGGAAACATATGTCATATAAACGATTATGCCTTTAAATGATTTGCAGATTTTGTTTGGAATTAGCAAGACTTAAATTTGGATTTTGTTACGATTCTTAAGTTTTCTTTCGACTTCCTCTGTGGCTGCTTGGATTTTACACAACATTAAAGAAGACATTCTGAATGAATTTTCCGATCCCTAAAAATGTTTTAGAATGATGTATGGTTAATAGTTATAATTATTATGGAGAACACAGTAAGTACGGGAGCTTTAAAAATGAAAAAGTCATGTTTGTCCAGAAATCCTTAGGACTGCTGATGAAAAGTAGATGAAAGCTAGAGAAGATAAAAAATGAAGCGAAAATGAAAAGGTATATAAAACTGTCCAGCTAAACTGTTTGTGAAACGTGGAATAGTATTTTGAAAGCATAGAGAATTAAAAAACAGATTTGTCAATTTTATGATTGGTGTTATTTCTGTTAGATTTCGACCAGTACAAGTATTTAATAAAGCAGTGAAGTGAAAATTTTAAAGAAATAAATGCGTTCGAGGTTTATTCGAACTGTGTTAAATTTGAAAGTAAAATGTGGAGATACAAGTTACAGTTAATGCATTGAAATTCATGAAACTTTCATTTATGTCACATTTGCAGTAGGGATAAATCGACATTTATGCAGATATCTGCCGGAAATTCTAAAGATCACAAGCGATTTAACACGATCATTATTCGTTTCTACTATCACTTTAGGATACGAAGTAATATGATAGCGAGGAAATTATCAGAACGATCTCTCTCTCTCTCTCTCTAAGAGTAATAAAGTAATTGATAGCAATGAAATTTTTAACTCGAACGAGATGATTCTTTTCTCGAATGAAAAACTCAATTATCTGTTTGTTGCAAAAACATCTAATTTACCTTTTGATTAATGAGTTCAGAGATAACTGGGTAAGGATATTATATCTTATCAAATTTATTATATTTATATCACCTATATTTTTATCGCAGAATGAAATTGTTTATTTGAATTAACGACACACATGAATGCACAAATAACTAATATGCATTACCTGATTTTTTTTTTATTTAAATGTTATCGTATTGCTTCTAATTTTCTAGCTTTCTTTACTTCTCATTCTTTTTTTCATCATTTGCATGAGTTTTCAATTTTGCATTTCGTGCAGTTCGTTGTGAAGCATTTTTCATTCGTTTAATTTTTCTCGATGCATTTGATTTATCCGCCGGATCAGTTTCTTCATCTTTCAAGCTCTTGATTGGTTCAAGTGTATCGTCTTCATCAGATCGCGACTGTAAAAATCAACATCAATGCTGCTTACCACACAATAAAGTTACTTACTGAACACAGAGCTTAATTAAATATGGAAGTTAATTTGAATTTCAATCATTTCAGTTAAATTCAACCAGTTTTTCCTTCCATTGAAAGAAGTTACCGAATTAATGCTAACATATTTTTTCTGAATTTCAGATTTATTTTACTAGTGAATTTTTTTTTCAAAACAAATGATTGCTCCAATCAAGACTGTCATGAACGAGAATTACGCAAACATTATGATTTGAAGTTATAGCTCGAGAAATTATAAATAATTAATTATATCATTGTATAACAAACCTGATAAAATCCTTCCCTGATTTTCTCCTCTTTATCTTTCTCCAGCTCTTCTTCTCGTTTTCTTTTTGTTGATGGTGTGGGTTCCGCAACCGGAGGATAAAATGCTTCTTTATTATCTGAATCAGGAAATTGTTTGGAACCATCATTGTAACGATCAATTTCATGAACCTGAAAAAAACTGTTTGCCAAGGTTTGAAAAAATAAAAGAATACTTTTTAGCAAATAAGCAACATTCTTGTATTATAAGAAAGTAGCTCGGGAATATCGGAAAACATATTCAGCTTTAAAAATCACTCAAATAACTGTAATTAAATGAAAAGGAAAAAAAAAAACATTGTAACCCAAATATTTGGATTACCAAATGTTCAACCTGAATTGATGATATATTATCATCATTTTCTGCTTTCTTTTTTTTATTATCACTCTTCAATCTCTTTGGAATTGATATAATCACAAATGATCACAATGATCATAGCTTAATCAGAATATTAATTAAGCAAAATGTGCAACAGCTTTAAATATATAATTCAAATGGAAGATCATGAATTAAACTTTCTCCAACTTATCACGGCTATAAGAGAGAAATTTTCCTTGAAAAAAAAAAAACGGAAAAACGTCTAAAAAAAGTGAAAGCCACTATCTTTTCTTGTTTCTCCAATTTAAAATTTTAAAAATGTTGTTAATTTCGTTTTTCTTGTACGAAAGAATTAGAACAATAAAAAGTGACTTCTAAAGATCACTCTGAGAATATGAAATATTTTCTAATTTTTAATTTTGTAACTTAAAATAATGAGAATATAAGAAATGGAGCAAAAAAAAAGCAGTAAAATGCTGATGGAAGCAAAATGTTTTCTACTTCAAGCAGAAGCAAAGCATGAGAAGGGTGCTTCAAACAGAACTATTATAAAACTTGAGGTCATGCAGCAAACAGAATTGTTACAAAACTTGAGATGATAGATAGATTGAAATATGAAGGATAGAGAATGGAACAAATAATATCATGATGAATTCTAAGGATAGCTCAAGGAATATGATGCTTCTTTGATGCTAATAAATTCTCATTTTTTTTTTTTCAATTAATTTTTTGGCACATCTTTTTTAACCCAAAACGATCATTTCTTTTTAACCCAAAAGAAACGATCGTTTAAAACGTCGAAGGGTAATCGAAATAAAAGTAATTAAATACGTCAAACTTTTATGTTGCAGCAATAAAGAATAACATTAGTTAACGTAAAAAAATATGCAATATTTAATTAATATCATTTTTTCAGAAGTAAACGTGAAAAAAAATACAAAAGGTCAGCTTTGGATTATTTCATCTAAAAAAAATTAGATTATCTTTGTCTATTCATTAAAAAAAAAAAAAAGAAATCAAAAATTAGAAATGTTAGTGTTAAGCGTTTAAAATTATCAATATCAAATATTTCCTTTAAGCTATTGAATATTTTCCGGGATTAGACGGAAAGATGTAAAATAAAAACAAACTTTTTCCTTATTTTTATTAGGCGTAAATGTTTTCTGCGTAAAATTTAAGCCATCCTTCTTCGAATTTTTCTTTTTTAAGCACAGAACAATTGATATAATCATTGTTATTGCTACAGCAACTGTCATTCGTAATAACTGTAAATTCATAAGAATAACAAAGATCATAAATTACATTAGAAATGATTTAAAATTTGGATTTGCAAATGGGATAGAGATCTTTTTAGAAAAATAAATATAAAATTCTTTAAATCGTAATAATATCAAGCTTGGCTATGCTGTATAGTTTGAAAACATTCTCATGCTTATGATTAGATTATTTGATTTGGTAAACTTGGGGTTTACAGTTATTAGGAATTAAAATAATTTGATCATCCTGTTAAAAAATACTCCATTTAAATATCATTATAATGGAATGAATACATTCGTCAGCAATCAATTGCTAGTGCAAATCTTCATAAAGATCGATCGGTACATAAATATTAATTGTTTGATATCCAGTACTTATAGTAACGTTTCGAACGTATGCTGCCAACTATCAGAATATTTTAAACGTTAAAAGAAATTTCGTGTGTAATAATTTTGAGCAAAAAAAAAAGAAAAAATCATTAACAAACTGTACCGTAATTATGGATATATTATGAAAAAGATAAATTAGTGATAACCAGATTGTATCAAATTGCTTTCCATACATCTCAACAATTTCCGTGGAAGATAATTCTGAATATGGGGGAAAAAAAAATGTTCAGAATAACAGCAGAAAAGAATTTTTGACAATGTTTAATGCATTTCAATGTTTCTAATTAAACTTTTTTTTTGATTTTAATATTATGATGTAGTATTGTTTTTTTTTTTCTTTTTTGCTAAAATAGAAATGCTATGAATATTGTTGAAAGATTAAATAGATCAAAGTGATCAAAATAACGGAGGAGGTCAGGAAAACATTTTTTAGAAAGTAAATTATTAGCTTCTACTCCGTAAATTATGTTTTGATCCCCGAATCATTCCAAAGAAAAAAAAAATCATTATTTTTACAAAATCATTTTATGTAATTGATCTTTTCTCTTGCTAATTCTTTCTCATTCTCTCACTTGACTTCTATTTTTGTCTTTTTTAACTTTCAATAAAAATTAAAAAACATTAAATATGCAAAAATTTTTACATTTTGTTTAATATATATTCATTTCTAATTGGTGGTAATATCAAATTGTAATTTTTATTATTATTTTTTTTATAATGAAAAATTTAGGAATGGATTTTTTGCATTAATTTGTTATCTGATGCGCATCCACCGTATACTAATAATAGCAAATGCTTACAGACATCGACCGCTGCCTATAATAGTAGTACAAATATGAAATGATTTCTTCGAATATGTTATTCAATTTATATCATTCATAATTTCAGCAAATTTTGTTTAATGAATTCTTCCTCAGAATTCGAGATAGCTTATCAAAAGATAGGGATAGGAATTATTTTGATAGAAGCAAATTTGAAGTGTTATGGAATAAGAATCGATAGAGCATTTTACAGTATTGACCGCAAGAATGGTAAGCTATGACAATGAAGAGTTCAAGAGTGAAGGAGATGAATAAGCAGGAAGAGCTAACCCTGATAGAGGAATCAATAAAGTATAGTCTCCGCGGTTTAGGTCACATTATGGCGGCCAAATAACAGGAGAAAGAGTAATGGAGGGAATGAAAGACCGACCGCATTCCAAAGGTCGAGAATCATATAGGGTAAATGTTCCGTCGCAGTAAGAATTGCCCTCACAATATGACCTCATCTCAATGATCAATACGTATTGAACAAAAGAAAGTATGTCTAACAGTGATAATATTGATAATGGTACTCTATACTTCATATAATTCGATATTTTCTTGGCAGAGGTTAACTAATGTAATAAGCTTGAATAAAATTAGTTATAGCTGTATGAATAGTAATATTCATAGATAGAATGGATAGATAGCAAGAATTATTGATTTAGTGGAAGTTTTTGAAAGATGTGCTTGATGATGGATAAAAGTAACGATTACAGTTATTGTTATTTTTTTGCATAAATTATTGCTCAATTAAGTTTTTTCTTTTTTCTGATTATCACGTTCCATGTTTCATTCGCTCATTTTATGCAAATGTTACGATCTATAAACAGTCAGGTTTAGTGTAGGATGGGAGAGGATGGAATGAGGTAAGAAGTCGTGAGAAAGTTAGTCTTGTAATATCGTAGACATTCCCCGATGTTTCTTTCCCTCAATGTTTTATAGCACTGTACGGGGGCTACTCATGTCGTTACCGGGATGTCTAGATGATATTCCTCGATGGGAATGACATAGTTTTGACAGACTGTCCCTCGAGAATGAGTTGTTTCCGGGAGTGGTTGGAGCTATCCAATTTTACTATCATTTATATCATCTACAAGAAGTCCATTTCCTATTTTCCGTTTTCACTAATTTGAAGTTAGAAGACGTATAGGTTTCCGGCTGGAAAGCCGAACATAGAGAGGAAACAGTAGAAGGGGAGGGAGATTGCGTATTTTGAATATTTCTGATATTCTGAGGTGGAAATAATGCAAGTAACTTAATTTATTTTTTTCACGTTAGTCGCTCTTTTCCATTTCGCGTTCATAAATCCTATAGGCCTTACGGTATCTCCTCTCTACCGTAACCTCCTCCTTAGAGGAGACTGTTTGAATTCTCCAAAAAGCCTTGCGGAATATTATCATAAAAAACTTTGCCCAAATAGTAGTAGTGCGGTAATATCAAGGCAGGGCAAGAATTACTGTACGATTCAAGAATGAAAACATCTACCGCATCGACGGTACTACAAGATTTTCTTCAACGATCGCCTAACATTCATCTTCGGAAATTGTGATGGAACAAAAATTAGGAGAAAATATTGTCATTTTAATATTTGTAATCATAGTTGTCCTAATACTTTTCACCCATTCTCTTATCATCATTTCAGGATCGATTTACTGTCACTGATAGTATGGATAAGGATTCAAAGCCAGAAGAAAACAATCAAGATGAAGCGAATGATCATAAACAGAATCAGCCGGAAGCAGGTCAGAATCTAAAAGAAAATGAAAGTGAAGAATACAAACCAGTATGTTTTTTTCATTCGATAAATAATAATTCCATTCTAATAGTCACATTTTCGAATTAGATTAATTTGCTGTTAGCTTATTTGCATTAAATTTCACTCTTTCTAACACTAAAAATATCAAAATTGTAAAATTATTTTCCGATAGAATTAATTGATGGAACATTGAAGCAGACCATTTCAAACTTAGACTACTTTATAATTTCTGGTTGAATTGATTTTTTGATAAATATTTGAACCTAACTGAAGCATTTGATATTGATATTTTTGATCTAATCGATACCACTTCTATCAAAATTCTTATTCCTAATATCATTTATCTCATTCTCACTATTGTCTTCATATATGTATTAAAAACTTCAACAAAATGAAATGTTTGATCAATGAAACGGGAAAAAAAAAATTCGACAGAAAAAAAGCTCATCTTTAAACTGCTTATTAATTTGATAATTATATTACAGTTTAATAATGGTTACAATTCACCGCTTTCATCACCGGTTATCAGAGAGAAAATTGAGACTGTATTACGTTTTGCGTCAACACCGCTAGTGGAAGATGGTACTCCAGAATTTTTGCTCTATCAGTCATGGTCTGTCTTACTGATAAAAAAATAAAATTTTTTCAATTATTTAATGAATATTTTAGATTTGATCTATTTTATATCAGTTGATTTATTTTATCAGCTTAATATTCCAGGTTTGTTTAGAAACTAATTTAATTTTAATTGATTAATTGATTTAGTTTAGTTTATCTCATCTTTCAAATCCAATTCATTACATTTAATTTTGCTCATTTATTCTAATTGCATTGAACGTTTTCATCAGAATTTATTGTACCCTTCTTTCTTTTTATATGAAAAAGATATCCTTTTTTAAGAAAAAACATTTTAATTTTTTTAAAAGAAATTTTACTAGCGCTAATTGTTAATTTTGCTATCGTTTTCTTGTTTTTAACTCATTAGTACTGTTCGACCACTTATTATTTACTACATATGCCTAATGATATTAGCGCAAGTATATTAAAGAACGTATGATGCAAAATAACAAGTTAATTTACTAAGTCTTAATGCTCTGTCAGCTATAAAAATTATCATAAGAAGATCGAATAATTTTGAAATTGTTTAAAATTGCCTGCATTATCTTTTGTAAAATTGAACTACCTAAGCTAAAAAAAGGAATTTTTTTTTATTTCAGGCATACTCCTTCTCCGGATCCTGTATTACCTCCAGATTTTTTTACAGTAGAACGTGTTCAGCGTAGAGAAAGGTTAACATATTTATCATAAAATTGTTAGATTATCATATTTATTATAAATTAAAAGCGAAATTAGTATGAATGAAACAATTCCTAGTCCTTTTTTTTAAGTATGAAAATAACCTTCGTTGGCCAGAAATAGGAAATAATTTAGCAGTGACTCTGCTTAATATATCAAAATGATTTTCAGGGAATTATACAATCCACAAAATCACCTTTTACAAGACTTGGTAGATCTGGTAGAATCAGCAGTCCCATCATCAATAAGCCCAAGCCAGTGGTTATCGGAGGGACAAGATACAGTACCAGAGGCTGACTTATTAGCATCACTCAATCATCAAGCGGGGTTACAACGGTCTGTGATATCATCAAATTATAATTTTGGAAACAATTTTAGGTTTTCACCATTTTCGCCTCAATGGTTTGTCAAATATTTACCAGTTACTTCTGGACGTTACATTTCACATCATCCGGCTCAATTTCATTCGTTTACATCAAATTTGAATTCATCACTACTTGGCACACTATCTGTTACACCTACTTCACATTTATTTGCACCAATTTTGAGTTCATCTTTATTTGGCACATCACCTGTCACATTTATTTCACATTTACTACCTGGATGTCCACAGTCAAACTTACGAAACATTAAACTATCTAAACCGGTACTTTTTTTTTACTAAATATCAACTCATATCGTGGACGAGATCGATTATCATTTAATAAAGAAATTTGATGTAAAATACCGGAATGTTAAGATTTATGAAGTAACTAACCTGCAATCAGTGGCTAATTGATCTATATTCACTGGATAATAGCCCGTATCCATATTGAAAGATTTGGCCACCAAAAGATAAATACAGTTTTAACTCTTAATGAAATTTCTGAAATCATCAGATACATAAGCTGAAAAATATTCGAGGAAATAATAATTTTCTGATTGTTAGTAAAAAAAATCATTTTATTAAATTTAATACTCGTGCAATGTTAATATTAGCTTAATTACAGTTTGTTTCATGCGTTTTTTTTGAACAAGTCTTTTTGGATTAAAGATAGACTTGAAGTTGAATAATCTAAAATATAAATAGATTCACAACTTTGAAACAATTCATTTTTAAAATTTTTATTTGACCTTCTAATTTAGATTTCTAAATGGTATATGTAGCTGCTTAATGTATACTTTTTCACCGGAAGAGAAGTTCCAGCTAACTTTAGGACCCTGAATCCATTCTTGCCTTCGTTGTTTCCAGACTGAAACATGTGGATATTGTATTGCCACTTGTGAGTTTCCACAAAATCATAATAAAAAGGAATGTCCGAAATTAGCATGCATGAAGCCGTGTAAATTATGTAATGCAAGCGGAAGTGGAAATCATACTTTAATGTGAGTAATCATTTTTCTTTTTTTAACATTTACAAATAGGTTTCTCTAAAAATTATTAGACATTTTATTAAAAGTATCAAGTGAAATGAAAAATTCATAAGAAGACTTCTGCTATTTCAGAGAGTCGCTTATATTGCAAGTAATTAAGGTTATTTTTCCACATCATTTTAGAGTAAGTCCCTCTTTTTTCAACTACCACACAAACTGGTCACTTCAAGGGGTATAACTCTCATTAAGTAACAGGAATACCTTTTCCGATGGATAATTTAAGGTTATCATTATTGATTTCTTTGGGATTATCGATCATTAACTTGGCACTATTGGCTAAGTGGACGAGATACAGTCTACAAAAGATACCTTTCACTGCCATTTAAAAATAATTTTTTCTTTTCTGTTAAATATTTCAAATTTTTGTTGCAAATTTTACATATAATATAGCATAAAAAGCACCGTTGCAAATTTCACATATAAAAAAGGCACCGCTGCAAATTTTACATATAACAAAAAAGGCACCGTTGCAAATTTTGTGTTATTTATTTACACTATTAATCAATTATGTTGGATTTTTTTCAGAAATGGCAATATTTATTTGTTCATTATTTTTATTACTTTTATTGTTTTCATCCGGTCATATTATTTCACCTAATATTTCGTTATGGTTTCATTGATAATGAACGTTTAAAATACGCATCGATCGTTTTATAATTTACAGCATTTTCTCTTGCTTTTTTTTCAGGCATTGTCCGCACAAGGAAAAAGTTGTTTTAAAATTAAAACGCGATAAGCGAAATAATATTGACAAGGATAACACAGATAATGAGAATGCTAAAAATTACAAGAATAACAAAGGTAATCTTAATGACAAGGATAACAAAGATAATAAAAATGATAACAATAAAAAGGATGGTTAGAAGAACTTGCCATACTGGAATACATCCTCAAATTTCAAGTGATAATGGATGTGTTTGTTTTGTACCTTTTTTTTATAAACTTTAATTTTGTGTTTGTTTGTTTTTTCCCCTTATACTTACTACAAATATGTATTTTATTTTTTGTTGTATTTTGTATCAGTTACCCTTACAAAAGTTATTTGGAAGAAAATATGAATAAGTAAAATAAAAAAGAAATAGATGAAAGAAAGAAAAAGAACAAAAGAAAAATTGTGATAATTTTTTTTTATAAAAAAGAAACAGATGAAAGAAAGAAAAAGAACAAAAGAAAAACTGTGATAACTTTTTTTTTTTTGGCACTTTTAGATCCTTTTTTCCTGTATCGATAAATAGGGTAATAATATCACTAATACAACAACAAATAATCAATCACTACTACTGTACGACTGTTGAGAATTGATTATTTCGAAACTTCCTTATGCCAACTTATATATCAATTAATTGTTGCTCATTACTTTGTTTAAAATTACATCAATTCCATTCACATTATAATTATCGTAATTCTTTATTGCTCTACATCTATTCTCTTTTCATTATCAATAACAGTGATAATTTGAAGTAATATAATATGACATGTAATTAATCATTCATTCATTCCTTCATTCTCATTTTTCATTGCTAAGTGTGCTTAATGAATGATTGCATGCCTTCTTATCATTTATATTTTATGATCAAATAGCTACTTCAAATGTTACAAATGATTTTTATATAATGAATTAAAGCGATTGATATAAAACATAATTACTTACCCAATTTGAAATACTTGACACAAATCGAAATTCTTCCGATAGAGACTCGAACTTTGTACTTAAAGTCAGATGAAAATGTGGAAGTGAACAAGCAGCCAAATAAGCCTACATATTGTCGCAACAAAGGGAGCCATTGGCCCCGACCCTGTGTTTCATTGCGCGATGCTGCTAAAATTGAATGTCTTATAGCGATTTCCTGTATACGGTGTGTTATTTGTTTCGGAGGAGCAGGGAAGCGGGTTGATTCGATTCGAGTTGGTTATACATGGCGGTGTTGGGTGGTAAAAGTATGCACGTGATACACTGACGTGACTTGTTTGACTGATTAGAACTCGTGATGTTATGATTGCATTCTTTCTAGAAAAGAAAGAAAACGAATCATTTCTGAGGTTAAAAGAAAAAACAATGGTGGATGTTGATGTACAGGTATGATTTTTTAATTTAATTGCTTATTACTTAATTGTCAATATTATCGTTTGTATGTAATTATGTTTGTAAGATTGATATTTGCTTCTTCTATAACTCTTTGTAAAGCTTTACCAAATTTTTATCTCTTTTATTTTGAAATTGATTATGAAATGGATTGGATTGTAATTGTGATACACTATCGCTAAATGTTATATTAAAGGAAATGCCAAGTGAAACAGCATCAAGAGAGGGTGTTACAATGGGATTAGATGAACCAGATGATTACATGCGATACAAGAAACTTGAGAAGCAGCTTGAACATTTAGATGTTATGGAGGAATATGTAAAACTTGAAACACGAAATCTAGAAAAAGAATTATTGCATGCTCAAGAAGAGGTAAGCGATATAAGGTTATAAAAATTTATCAGATGATTACATGCGATACAAGAAGCTTGAGAAGCAGCTTGAACATTTAGAAATATGTTTGTTTTAAGAAAGCAGAAGTGATAAGGAATTGTACCTTGTACGTACTATTTAGTCTAATTTGGAGTAGTAATTTCAGGTTAAAAGAATACAATCTGTCCCTCTAGTTATTGGACAATTTTTGGAAGCTGTTGACCAAGACCATGCAATTGTAGGATCAACTACAGGTTACAGGTTTTAATTATAGTAACGAGCAGTTTTTTTTTTTCCCGAGTGATTATTATTTCAAAATTAGTGAGATGAGTTTCACCATTCTGCAGTAGAGATAAGTAATAGGTTTAAAAATTAAGGAAATAACGGATGAAGTTAGGCTTCTTGTTATTGAAGCATTTATTCAGTATAGCTTTTGTTACTGGATTTTTGAACAAATAGAAATTTTTATTTCTATTTAGGATCAAACTATTTTGTTCGCGTGTTATCCATTTTGGATCGTGAGCTATTGAAACCTGGTTGTAGCGTGGCATTACATAAATATAGCAATGCTCTTGTTGATGTGTTGCCACCGGAAGCAGATTCGACAATTCAAATGTTGCGTGCCGATGAAAAACCTGATGTTTGTAGTTATAGAGCTTCCTTGGTGTAATTTTCTCAGTTACGCTAGTAGAGACGATGTTGTAAGAATCGTTGCTGCTGAAGCATTGTTATTCCATATGACTGCGATATTATCAATAGATTAAATGGAATAGTTTGGTACTGATAGCACTAAATGGAATAGTTTGGTGCTGATAGCACAAATCCTGTATAGGATGCTCATATATAATTTTGTCTGTGTAAAGCAGCGCATTATATAAGAAAATACAATTTAAATTAGCCTTTGTTTAGTGATTCAAGTAACTTTTATCTGTAATGAGTTCTTTATTATTAAAACTCAACCGTAATGCATAACTATTTGTTTCATTTATTGTAGGTTTCATATGCCGACATTGGTGGTCTCGATATGCAGAAACAGGAAGTTCGTGAAGCAGTTGAGCTTCCTCTTACTCATGGGGAACTTTATCAGCAGGTTCCATATTTTCATATTCTCTACCATTGAGTTTCTAACTTGTACATAATTTTTTGTTCAGTGAAAGTTTCATAGGAAGTTGGTAGAAGTTTTATTGGAATGGTGATTGCATCATAATGCTTTGCTGAATGATTAGCTGTTGCTAACATGCATATTTTCAGTATTTGAATGCTTTTTTTTGTATATGAGAAAAGCAGCCATTGATGCTAAAGTCAATTGTGTAAGCATTTAAAATTAGCATTCCACTTATCCAAATTATACATTCATCTATTAGCATTATTTTGCTGGTCTATCGTTTTAAAATTAGCATTTTACTTGCTCAAATTATATGTTTATTATATATTTATTAGTATTATTTTGCTGGTTTATCGTTCTAAGTAATCGTTAACGCAGAACTTATACAATTTTCTGTTATTTAAAGCTGTCTTTAATCTCAAATTACATCATCTTCCATAAATGACAATATGAGTAATAAATTAATTACTTCAGAGTGAAGTAATTACTAATTTATCCGATTTTAGATCGGTATTGATCCTCCAAGAGGTGTACTTATGTATGGTCCACCAGGATGTGGTAAAACAATGCTAGCAAAAGCAGTAGCAGCACATACAACAGCTTCATTTATCCGTGTCGTCGGAAGTGAATTTGTTCAAAAATATCTTGGAGAAGGTGAAATTCCTTTTTTGTGCTCATTTATATGTATAGCTATCATAATTCTGAAAATTAATCGTATAAATATCAAGATTTCTGCAATCATTGGGTTTGTTTCTAGGACCACGCATGGTACGTGATGTATTTCGTCTAGCCAAAGAGAACAGTCCATCGATAATATTCATCGATGAAATTGATGCAATTGCAACGAAACGGTTCGATGCACAGACCGGTGCTGATCGTGAAGTGCAACGGATTTTGCTGGAACTTTTGAATCAAATGGATGGTTTTGATCAAAGTACAAATGTTAAGGTAAACCTGCAATATTAGAATTATCTACTGTATGTTTGCCTCTTGATCCTGATAGTGAACTAGTTTAATATTAAATCATTTTGGGTAATTTTCTCCTTTCTTATTCCAGAATCATAGAATAGTCGAGATATTGCAAATTATATACTATGACAAATCCCATTGGCAAAAGGATTCAGCTCCTTATTTCACTTTATTAAGGTGATGTTAGACAAAAATCTTAAAATTATTCAGGTAATAATGGCAACAAATCGTCAAGATACTTTGGATCCAGCACTTCTACGTCCTGGCCGTTTGGATCGTAAAATTGAATTCCCAATGCCAGACCGCCGGCAGAAACGTCTTATTTTTTCAACAATTACGGCAAAAATGAATCTTTCGGATGAGGTTGATATGGAAGACTTTGTTGCTAGACCAGATAAAGTGTCAGGTGCAGACATTAATGCCATATGTCAGGAGGTTAGTTAGTTTTATATAAAATTGGAAGGAAAGTGATATCAAATAATCAGTTGTCGTGTCCTGCTGTAAATCCGTTTTTTTATTTTTTATAAGCTAATTTTCTTATAGGCTGGTATGCATGCAGTTCGTGAAAATCGTTACGTTGTACTGACAAAAGATTTCGACAAGGCGTACAAATCTGTGATAAAGAAGGATCAAAATGATTTTGAGTTCTATAAATAATTCAAATTGTATTGCAGTAGGTTCTCAATTTCCTTCGAGTTTCATTACTAAAAATGCAAATATGTTACGAGCATTTCAACATTATATATAATGATGTAAAACCTAATTCTCTTTTGATCGAAAATATGGTGTGAAAGAAATTAAACAAAAATAAGCTAATGTGATTTAAAAGTTTTATTTCAGCTTAAGCAAAATCCGATTCCTGATATTTTTTAGTTTTGTTATGCTACTGTCACTCAGATAGTTGTGTTCCTTTGTAAAAGAACTCTTATAATAATACATCACTGTAATGTTAATGGATAAATATTTTTCATCTAAATCTTTTTGGGAATTTTATCTGGTCTCAGCGAAGCAATTCAGCACGCGTTGAAGAAAATTATCGGCATATTTTTCTTAAATTGAAATTTTCTTTTCTCTCAAATTCGTGGCAAAAAATAGTCGCCGTACAATACGGAAGGGGTTCTTCATCAAGCGTATAACTAGGCTCAGTATTTGTGCATTTGAAATCCGATGTCAGGGCAGATATGTTTGTGAACGTGTGGTGGTTAAGATGAGGGGAACCTGTTTATATTATGTCTGACCTGCAGACTGGACTTCGAAAGCAATGATGGTATGAGTAAGGGATAAGTGGACCTGTGAAGTTGTTTTCTAATTTTGTCCGAAAAAAGGAATTAGGCATAAGGTCTATTTTAATGCGAATCATTTAATAAGAATTGAAAGGATGATTTATACGAGAATGAGTTTGTAAATAGTTTACTGATTAGTTGACATTCGGTGTTTTGATAGGTTTCCTATGATAAATTAGGTCCGAATATCGATAGACCAATTCAATTGAATTAGTTCTTAAGGTATCTGTAGACAACAACTGTTTACTTCGGATTACAAAAGATAAAGTAATGCAGTGAATCCTTTTGATCCATAGAAGCGGATAAATACAATAATATAAAGCAAAAGATATTTTTCATTTCAAATCGACTTTAATCAAACTTGTTGCTGATAGTATTGAGATGTTTTTTCGTGAAAACTGTGCAGCTGTTCAGTACTAAAAGAGTTATTTTTCCAGTTTCAAGCTTGGGCGCGATTCAGTGTTTGTGTGATTGTTTGGGCGATGACAGATAGTCATAAGGGGGGTGCCAAGAACGAAAATGTAGCCGACAGCTGGGAAGAGGCTGGCGACGAGGTAAATATGACTTTTTGCATTTAATATTTAATTTGTTGAGTTGAGTTGAACGGTGGTCCAGTAATTTTGGCCTTTTATTTCTATCATTTTGGCGTTTTGTTTTTATACTAAAGTCTTGCAACTGATTTGATCGATTTAAATATTTTACTATTTACTTCGTCGATTAAGTAAATAGTAAAATCTGTTTGAACAAAGCACACAGTATTGTTGATTGTCATTTGCTCATTAGCGCCTAGGGATGAGATCCATTTATGTGTTTAATGAAAGTTTGTCAAGATTAAGACTCCATGAAGATACCCGTAATAGTCATAAATAAGAATCCGTAACTATATGGCCTTCACTATTATGATGGTTCAGAAATTAATATGCTGAATATTACTTATCCTTCTTAAAAAAACCAAGAAAAAATGGAAAATAAAGTAATGATGATGTGAAATAACCGATAGTCGAGTTTAGCGAATATAAAATATAACAAAGGAATCGATGTGGGCAAAATTTTCCCGTTTGTTAGATCATAACTAATATAGGCGCCTTTTCTGGCTTAATTCTGATAAGATAATCTATCCAATTGTGTTAGTTAGTGTAATTAACGAAACAATGACTAGAGGATCGAGACGCTTGCTGAAATTACTTAAAAAGAGGGATGAGTTGATCTTCGCTCAAATGGATTTCATTCATTTTTGCAATGATCGAGGTAGCGATTTGGATACCGTACATATGGTGGTAAACGATTATAAGGATAGGCTTCAAGATGAAAATATGTTTTTACGTGAGAGATTACTGGGAGAGGGTTGGTATTTTCTTGATTTTTTTCTCGTTGACCCACGTGGTATTTTTCATTCATATCACTGGGATCATGAACCGGATCCATCCGAATATTATTATTTTCACGCGGTAATTTTTTTTGTGGCTTCATTTTTAATGACTTTTGAAAATTAGTATTTTTCTTAAGTAAATCTTGTAGCAGTAATAACGACAATGTTATATACTTTTTGCATGTAGTCATAATAAATAGATAAGTGATTACTCGATTTTAAAATTTTAGTTCAGAAAATTTTCTGAAGTAGAAGTGGAAGGGAATTCATTCAATTTTAAAATATGCTTATTAGATTGATTAGATTCAAAGTCATACAGAACGCTTAGTTCAAATTTAAATCCTTTACAGGAGAAGGGAATATGGTTCAATAAAAATGATATTATAAATAGCCAATATATAAATGCGATAAAGAGAAGAGAGGATGAGATATTGAATGCCAGGGCAGCTGGAGTGTCAACACTACAAGTATTTCAACTGGGGATTATTTGCCTGATTAATCTTAAATTTGGGAGGGTGACTATCACCTAAGATTTTTGTTAGGCAACAATCTGATATATGCTAGCAGCATCACTTCAGTATTCTGGAGATCTGTTTTTGAATAATAAATTTTATCATTTATTGCTGTTTTATTCAGTTTTTTTTATTTTTAGATTTAAGCCTCAAATTTTCTTTAAACCAAGTTTTATAGGCCACGGAAAAATTTTTCGATGAACGTAAGAAAGAAATTGAGGCGAAGAAGCAAAAGGAAGAAGAGATATGGAGAGCAAGAGAA